AGGCGGGTTGATCTCGGGCCTCTTCAAATACTGCACTCGAACAACGAAGAGAAGAATAAATAGACGGCGGCTGAGGTGCAACTTATTAGCCTAGTTCGTTTGAATTCTTAGGTATTCACCAGTTGAGACGATTTACTGGGAAATTGGTAGAGTTATTTGATATCGAATTCATAGAATTAAGTTTGTTTGATATATTCGTCGTTTGAGCTAGATATAAGCTTCTATCTCATTTGTAAGCAAGTTAGAATCTGTTGTTAAGTTTGTTTCACTTTGTAATTTTTATTTGGATGTAATTTAATATTTAGAATAGCACTTCCATGATTTTAGATTCAAAGATTCAAAGATATAGATTATAAATACTTCTGCTTCGATGTAATTCGTTTGTTGAATAGTAATGAACGAATTGTATAACAATATATTTCACATAACGAAAAACATGGAAATACGTTTGGAATAAGAATGGGGAGACTATGCCCGTGCTACTCAGGTCAATAAAGAAACCTGGCTGGTTTGAGTGCACGTGAAGCGCACTTCACCTTCAATACGACGACGCCAAGCAATTCACCGGTAGAAGGTTCGCTACTGTATTCTTCAAAGTGCAACGTCCTGTAGGCTTGTTTTGATCGATCTCTCCTGAGGCTGTTGTTGAAGGCTAAACGCATAGACTCTCGATACTCGAGTGTTTGCGAACGATGAGCACTTATTATAATTGCCAATACCAAGGTATACGACAGGCTAAAGTAATCGAAATGTCGCGGTACTATTCTTTTGTGGAAACTCTTGGTGATCTATATTTAATCAATCACTCGTAGACTTTGGATATTCATTTTTGCAAATTTTATGTATTTATTGCACACTTGCTAGTTTAAAACTCAATATAGTGAAACTTTGTAATTCAATTCATTTTCCTTCGGTATAAATAAAACACTTAACCCTTTAAGGTCTGGAGCGTTTTGTGTTCTTCACTTTAGAATTTTGTTATATTAAACTATATTGTTTAACATTTTAATAATGTATTTAACAACATTTGAGAAGCACCAAAGTTGTACTCGTATATGATGTTATTGTGATATTCCGAATTATAGTAAAAATTATTACAAATAATTAAATTCTTGCAGTCTAAAGTTTTTCACTAGAAATGTTCACTAGAAACCTGCCCATTTTCTAATGACGTATAGACGACCTTGTTTTAAACTCGCTTAAAGAGAAATCACACGCAAATGAAGAAACAAAGCCATTTCATTTCAATATTTTACATAGCGATACGTTATACAAAATTTAATGCTAAATATCAAACATGATAATTTCATTATATCAAATTAAGTTGCAATTGAATTTTACTTCTCAGCTGCAAAGGGTGAACAGAGAAATCAAATTTTTATTGTCTAAATAAAACTATACAAATCTCTATTTACCTAATCGATATTAGATTTTAATCGATATTTTTGAATAAACAAGAACTTTCTCATATTACTTCAATGAATATCATCCTCTCAAATATATGATGTATTATTAAAAGCGCATTGCCTATGGATAACAAAAAGCCGTCACGCTAACCAAAGTAATTCGGATCTAGTGTCATCCCCGTTAATGACATTTACACTGTTTACCGGAACGTGACTGGCATAAGCTGGAATGTGGCCGCGATAACCAACGCGCATCGACAGTCGGAAATGGACATCGTGGATTCGCGTGTCGCGAGCTGGTAGCCGCGCTTAAGCGCGGTATCATTTTCGAGCTTGGAACTTGGGAAAACTCTAATTCCCCGGGATCCGTATTGCATCGGGATTCGTGCGCGTTTACGTGCGCGAGGGTGAAATTACGCGGACTTCCGGGAAGTTTGTTATTACGTTGAAAATAATTACGACTGCAAAGCAAACGGACGCGGAGCAAGTTACGGCGGCCCCCTGGAAAAATGGAGGGAATTGCACGAAAGAACGTTGCACCGTGCCTCTATGGGAATTTTTACTTACCGGAAGAAGTGTTCCGTTAAACGACCCGACCTGCACGATACTGAAATTCTTCGGATGTTCGTTCGAGGAGGAAGTATTCGGCAAGAATGTTATTAATTATTAAGCCGTGGATATGCATGCAGGAATGAACTGTAATGGAATACCTTGTAAGAGGCAGCATAAAAATTATTTTACACGTTCGAGATTTTATTCTTACGGAATGACATCATTAATCTGTTAACTGTGTAATTTAGTTTCAGAAATTTTTGATAATGCTTACAATGAAATCAAATAAATAAGTGTATACTTGTCTAACACAGGTCAAATGCACCTATAATATATTATAATGAGAAGCTAAAGCAAAACGAAGAAGAATTACATGTTTATCTGAAAAAATAAATAATTTATCGTTGAAATAAGTAGCATCATTTTGGATTTAAGATTACGTGTACATTCGTCGAACGCAGTAAACTTTTAAGTTAACTTTAAGTTTTATTATATTTTTAATAACTATTGATCGTATTCGTACGCATATGTTTGTACTTGTATATTTATATATCGTAGAAGGCAATGCATTAATTAATTAAGATCGGATAAATATGAATGCGATAGTATCAAATGTACAAGAACAGAAATGAATTACACTATTGGTAAGCAGAAGATTTAGTTAAACATATGGAATAAAATTATTTTATACATTTTTTTGTTTAATATTCACATTGTTCAATCAAATACTATATCAGAGATAATAACGTGAATCTTGAATCATGTTCGGAATCGGTCGGTAGCCGTACTTGTGACAGATAATGAAATTAATATGAAAATTTCTATAGAGCTTGGTTCCATTAGAGAAATGGTCCTCCGGGAAGAATCGATTAACCGTACCGGACAAACCCACCTAATTTCTCAGGCTCATCGTGAGCATCGTCATGCCGCACAACCTCATTCCAACGATTTACAACTGTTCCAAACTCTAGCTAGACCAGTTCTTATTGGTTTCTACCTCGGAGCTCCGGGCTGCATCAGCATTGGATCATTAACGGGTCCCTGGAGGGTGCATACACGTTCTGGGGGTCTTCCTTTCTCTTAAGTTCTTGAAGCGCATCTTATTTTTTACATAAATCTTCGCTCTTATTCCCTTTCATAACAGAAGTTTCTTCAATTCTGAATCCTATCGTACGATTACTGTATATGCAAACAGTTTTTTACATGTTTCAGACTTAATCCTTTCCAATTCATTAATATATTAATACGCAATGAGTTCAAAATACTGCAAATAAATAATTAAATAAATTAAATAAAAAGATATTAATATTTATATTTCTCCTTTTGTAATATTTAAGAATGCTGTAAATAATCTAATTTCCTGTGGAAAAAAAGCTTCCAATAATTAAACGATTCCTCAGGAGCAAGCAAAGGCATACTTTTCAACTAAACTTGAGATGATATGGGTCTTTTACATTACCAGCAGATCATCTTCATTTCGAGTTTTCTCATATTTCCTCGCGTCACATGAGTAACCAACTCCGGTCAATATCATGCAGATCGAGCTAGCTTAATGCGCGAGTATGTGTAAATACTTTGTAATTCGGCCTTAAATGTCGGAGGTCTATTAAAGTCCTTTGGCCAGCTTCCAGATCGTGGGATAAACCTGCCCTACGTAGAAATATATTCAATATAAATAGTAACCGCACTGTCACAGTATAATATAATTCCACGACCTTCTAAATCTATATACCGAATACCGATTCGGGCGACTGAATAACCGCATAGAAGGATGCATCATTCGAAGGAATTGCAATTAGAGTTGTAGTCAGCCCTAATTCATTCGGCATAGTTCCCTGAAATTCGGCAAAGTTCGTAAATCAGTTCCGTAAAGTATGTCTGACCGTCCTATAAAAACACGATTTTCGTGCTGTCTGTTAGGCTTTGGGATGACCCTTCCTGAAAATTTCAGTGTGACCAACTCGAGCAAACTTTTGACAATTTGAGCGGTCTTTACCTCCGGGGAAGTTTTCTAGAAAATTTGATTTCCCCTTAAATTTGACTAATATATGCCAACTGCGACAGTTCTACTAAAAGATGGTTTTATTGAAATTTTACTTTACTTTATCTTTAATAATTTTGTAGATAATCAACATCAGTCAGTAATAATATTATTCATTTACAATTACGTTAAGAAATGAATAAATAATGAACTGTTCTACATTTAATAAAATGAATTATTTTAAATAGCTTGGGGCGTTCGATTCAATTTCACTCGAAAATAATATTTAGTTTCCCATAGAATTTTCTGTTGAATTTAAACTCCAACGACGTCATCGTCAATCTAACATATGTATTTATCTCTCTAATCTCAACAAATTGCAATAAACCCAAACTCCAATTACCTCAACCATCCTCATAAAAACCACCCCTACAAACGAAAACAATCCTCAACATTTCGTCACATTGAAACACCCAATCCCTGTAAAAACTCTACAATCCCATGAACAATGAACCCTGACCCTAACCATCCTCAAGAAAGCTCGCCCCCGTAGCCTAAAACAATCCATTCAAACCAAGTGCCATTATTCGATTCAGCGGAATTCCCGGATCAATGATCAGGTCGCTCTCGGAGACCCTGCGAGCTTCGCTTAAAGACAGACCAAGACAGACAGCCTCCGGCATCCGGTGACCGAGCGATAACAAGGAACCAGGGTATCAAGTAGCGACCGAACGCGTTTATTCAAAGAGGATCAGCAAAACGTAAAAACGAAAAGCGGAATCAGAAAGAGCGATGTTAAAAGCAAATGAGAAAACAAAAAACGAGAATCTCGTGGAGGCATAAAGAGCAAGGGAAGCGTGAGACCGCGGAGAGCGTACAAGGGTGAAGCGGTTGGCGTACGACAGGGGACGCCCTGAACGCGTCGCGTCGTCGGTGTCGAGAGGATGTGTCGCGAGCGAGCGCGTCGTTCGCGGCGGTCGATGCCACCAGACGCCACAGTGGCGCTGGCGTCGCTCGAAAATAAGCTCGCCCAAAGGCTCCGCCGACTGCAGTAGCCCGGCATCCGTCGGCGCCGCGGCCAGGACGAAAAGTCTCCACCCCCGGGGTTCGCAGATCACCGCCGTGTGTGGCTCGCCGATGATTGAATGGAGGCCGACCGATAACAGGGTGCACCGTGTACGTCGACCGTCCGCGAGCAACGCCGGCCTCCGCGCCACCCGGACGAAGATAAAATAACTGCGAGCCGGAGCAGGGAAAAGTCAGGGGGACGCGTAGGATGCGACAGCAGCTGCCAGCAGCGCGGTCGGCCTGAAAGAATCTGCTTCGGCAGCTCCCGGCTGGCACGGACCCCTCGGCCCTCCTCGACGGCACACGGCGGTTTCGATCGAGGCGCGGCGCGGTTTAGCGGGATCGCGGGACAAATGTGTACGGTGGACAGTGTGACATAGTGCGGCGAAGTAGGCGACGAAGACCACGGCGAGGGAGCGGAGAGAGTACACAGGGCCAGCCGTCGAGGGAACGCGGGAAGAGGAGGAGGTGGTGGGAAGACAGGATGCGGGGGCACAGGAAGAGGGCGCAGAGCCCCGACGATTTCGCTTCTTCTTCGTAGGGGGTACACATGCTGCCCCGATTTATTTCTTTCACGCCGAGAACGTGATCGAGCTTCCTCTCGGCCAACCGAGCTTCTCGGTCCGGACGCCCCTTCGGACGATTCTTCGGTGACTGGGTCGCGACTCTGGGAGGGGACTGTGCTTAGGGCTGGTCACGTGAAATCGTGCATTTCAATTTTTTAACGTTTCCTTCTGATTTCTTTTGGATTTCTTTTGGAGAATTGTTACTTGATCGCTACTCGTTTTTCTTCGCGAACGTTGGGGTTATTGGTTGGTAATTGTCCGGTGAGATAGGCTTACTTATGGGAGGGAACAGTGCTTGGAACTGTCGGGGTCACGTGAAGAGTTACGTTTCGATTTTTATGGATTTTTTGGGAATTGCTGTTTATTGGGGTATTAACATTCGCTTTTTTCGGAAGCTTTGTTTTGTCGTTGATTTCTTAGGTGATGAAATAGTTTTGGGGGGGAGTAGTTGCGAATATTGGAATCGTCGAAGTACGCTTCGATTTGTAGAGAATGTCCTAGAGGCAGTTATTTACGAATATTTCGTTGTTCTTCTGGGATGACTGTACGGGTGATTTTATCTAGTGATTTATCTAGAAAATTGCATAAAAGCACTGGAAAAACGTCCTTTCCTCTGTATGTTAATTCGTTCGTTGGTGTTTCCTTGGATTTAGCTTCCTAGAAACATGTACAAGAATAGGTTTCTTCAGGAACCTTTGGCCCACTTTCAGATGGCAGCATCCGTGCCACCGATTCTGCTTAAATGCCCAAGACGAAAGAACTGCGGTTACAGTCAGTGACATTATTGCATTAAATCCTGGTAAAAAGTGCGCATTGAATGATATCAACCGAAATATCCGCGTCTGTGGCCCATCGTACGTTAGTCCCTCTTTCCACTAAATTAAACCATAATTCAAAGCAACGAACTCAAACCGTGCTCTCAAATGAATAAACAATAGAAAATAAATGTTTCCCAATGCACCCCTCTCCCTCGTTGAAAAATTCTCATGTAAAGTCCCGTTTGTCTTTGAATGGAAGCAATAAACGAGTCGCCCGGATGTTCAATGGAGACGATAGACGCTCGAGGAGAGGCAAGCTTTTGACTCGGCGAAAACGGGGGCTTCTGCGCGCCGGAAATTCCAATTTTTAAATGAGCCGATTGAATCGAGGCCCGAGGGGTCGCGCATCCGCCATCGAATTCATGTTTCGTGGGTGTCTTTGAAAGAATCGTCGAATGGGCAGGGATTCAAAAAGCATCGGTCGTGTATACACTAATTGCTGATTAACGAGTGGCTCAGCGGGCTGACGTTAGCGAGACCCTTCTCCGCGTAGATTGGATACCTCCTTCCGTGCGGACGTGGCCGCGTAATCAACGCGGACACTTAGCCCGACCCAGTGTTGATTTACGTCGAGTGGCTCCGTGAACGCAAAGCGCGCCTACTTTGTCCTCGAAGAATTGACAATTTGATGACTTCAACCAGTACCGGCGCTTACCCGTTCGCTCCGGGCTTCGCGTAATCCAAAGGAATCGCGGGACTAGAGCCACCCCCGGAAATGGTTCCTAGTGAGCTTGGAAAAGCGGACACCGGTAGCTTTATCCCGACCGAGTTATTTTTTTCGAATTTATCGGATGAACGCGCTTTAAATAGATGAGCTGGGGGAACTGGGACGCTGAATGGATTCTATTTACGGTGGATTTTCGGAATTTTCGAGCTGTATTTGGATTGGAATTTGATTTGATGTGGGATGTTGTTTGTTATTTAGGAGTTGGGTTAAGATTTCGGTGAAATTGTTGACTTTACTTATTTATATTAGATTCTTGGATAGCAGTTTTCGTATACGTTTTGTGCTGAAATCGAAGAATTGCGTTAGATATATCATTACGTAGATTTTATATTTTTTTAATTGCATTTTTAGTTTTTCATTATTATATTTTATTTGTAATATTTTTTATTAGCCGTTGATTAATTGGACAGAAAAGCTTCGTATTGAAACATGCGGTAAAAATATGAAATACGTTGTTGAGATACGAGCAGTTTATTTTCATTTATTTATTAACATATTTATTATCTTATGTATTTTTTGGATAATAATGACATCGTTCATGTACATTACCATTATATTCGTAAAACTCCTTTCGATACATTGCAGGTTTGTCGAGCACGAGTTATTGAATACGGGTTTCTAGCGTGTCTGATCAGTGCTGGTTATTTCTACTTGGAAGAAGTACTAAAGGTGGTACGATTTTATCTGATACTTTTCAATCGTATTATTATATCTTCTATCGTACTGGTGAACATTAAATTATCGTGATGGAAAGATTTATTTATAAGAATTACTATAAAGTTATTATCAAAAGTTACACATATTAAAATAGGTAAATCTAAATCTTAGTCATAAATCTAGTCAATTAAATTTTTAATACTGATGGATTACACGATAAAAATTTATTTTTTAATCTTACTTTCCTAATATTAGAACATTTTTGCCACTCGAGTTCATATTTCAGTTCCTCTTTTTTTTAGCATTCCTTTAACTGAATTCTGTAAAGTTATATTTTATTTTCTATTCAATTTTATTTTATTGAGATCATACTTTCTAGGTGGGCGGGACGTTTGACATTTTTACTGGCTGTTGCTCCCGTTTACATCAATATTTTCTTTCCCGGATATCCTTTATAAATTTCTTACTATCGGTTTCTTTATACATGGAACCTTTTCCATATTCCAATAAAGAATAAAGAATCATCATTTTGTGTAAGGAATTCGTCTCAATCAACCCTCAAGTATTTTCAGTTCGATCTTTCTTCGGATCTACTTAAACCTTCAAACACATTCTACGTTCAACCCTTACATCCAAAATATCATTTACAAACAAAACATTTCAATATTAACTTGTCCTTCGTTTTCTCGTTTCCTTTAATCCATCACAAGCCAGTTTCAAAACGTAAACCACATTAAACTCGTCAGGTTAAGTAAGTCCCAGTGACGTAAACAATTAACATCCAAGCAGAGTTTCAGAAAATTGCAATTTCATATTAATTCCAAAAGTCTGTCTGTTCAAACAGCAAAAGCAATACGAACTTCTACCCTCGAGAGAGCCCGGTTTCCCTAACATTTAACTGGCACAACTGATTTGCTATTTAAATGCTGTCTATTACTTCCTCGGAGCGCAGTAAAAGAAAAGAAAATTCTTAAAGCTGCAACTACGGCTGCAACATTCGCGGAGCGAAAAGAATATTAAATTAGTGACTAATCAGCAGCCAAGTCGGTGAAAAAAAGACACAGCGAGCTCCGTGTGGGTGTATTTGTTCGTAGGAAATGCTGAACATGTAAAGTGGAGAAAACTGTAAAATGACAAAGGACCTCGGGCGAGGATGATCTCACACAAAACGCTCCTTTGAGCTCCTTGTGTGCGGCATCGGTTTGTTCTGACGTAACTCGCCGGCACGAAACCATGCCGAGTCAATAAAGGAGAATGGCACTTTGTGGTCATGAAATCTAGTTTCTTTGTATTAAAACGACGTACCCCGAACAAAACGCAAGTTTATGAGAGAGTGTCTCGCGTTCCGATCCTCCCTTCGCCCGAAGACAATCCGCTCCGCTTCATTCCGAGCTTTTTCCGATAAAAGAATTTTCGTTCGGGCAAGAAAGCTCGGCTCCGGAAGATCGACGCGGAGACTCGGAGCATATCGCGCAACAAATTAGTTCCAGGAAGTTTAAGAGCTTATGGAAACTTCTCCCTTCGCTTCCCTTAATTAATTGAACTTTGCTTATATCAGGCAAGATTACACGATTTTATGGGGTAAAATCTGGGGAAGATTTACGGGGTCTCTTAATCATATTCTTTTTTTCTGCAGTGAATTTCTGAATTCTTGGGAGGATTGTAAGGGATACAAGAAAGTAAAGTGATTTTTTAATGTTTTATTAGAAAATTGGTTGATATTGGGAAATGATAACGAACTTGAATGAAATAGTTATGTTACTTTTATTTCTTTCGAAAAACAATTTTTGGGGGAATGTTGAGAGACACGTGAATTTTAATATGTATTCGATTCATCTGTGTTAATATGTTATTAAGTTTTCTAAATGCTGTCGATATTCTGAATTAACTGTTTTACTTTTCATTAAGGTTTAATCCTTCTTAAAACAGTAAGAATTCGTTTTGAAAATTTCCTTTGGAATCTAACTTTCAAAGAATACACTTAAAAAATGAAAAGACTTTTGAACGTGGCCGATTAGTGAAACACTCCGTTAGAAGAGTACACATTTTAGAAACACCCCGTACAGATATAATCGTAAAGGCTTCACGGTAATTTTGAAGCTTCCATTTTCTCGCGAGGTAGAAAAGAGAAGAAAGGAAGCTCGTTGCGGATGGTGCTCGGGTATGAAAAGCTCGGGGCTAACAAGAGACTATACCGAAGTGACAATCGCCAATTTCGTTGAAACTTTGCACGAGAGTGCCAAAAAACAATAGTCAAGCAGTTTTTGGTTTAAGATCGTCCGTAGTTAGAGTGAGGACAAAAAATCTCCGAAATTTCATGTGACAGACTATTTTGATGAATATCTTAGAAATTACTGTTTAGAAAAGTTCAAATCAATGTGTTCCTAACGATGCAGTTCTTGCATATATAAATAGATTTTCAAAGAACATCACTATAATGAAAAACTATAATACAAATCAGTAAATTTTAGAAAACTTGTTTTGCAAGGTATTGATCTACTTTTACTTAATTTGGTATTAGTAGTTTTAACATCTGCAATTGCCTTTGTCTATAGTAATAAAATACTATATTTATTTTTCATCTTTAGTTTCCATAATTTTATACAATCTCAATGTATCAGAAACATCAGTACTTAATACGCTTACTGATTGACGTACAGGATGCGTTATGAAAGTATGAGTTCGTCCATTGTTTGGCCAGCTAGCTGTACACACATGTTAAACACAAAAAGCGTCTAGTAGCTTCCCTGTACGGTGATATTGCATGGCTTTATGTGTCAGGTGAATGAGTACTTCAACTTTTTAAGCACCAACTGATTTCCAAATACAAGGAGTACCATACAATTGCTTCATTTCAATTCAATGAGGCTAATCAGGAAGCTCAGTGAATTTCTAAATAGTTGATGTATATATAAATTACGTACATTTTTCATTTGTTTTCAGTTTATTATACTGATTTCACCAAAAATTCTTTCATGTGAAGAACTCTTGCACATTTTACTCTACTTTCAGCAATTTTATTATTATACTAATTACGTTCAATTATTTACATTTTCTGTGCCATGTAATTCACACACTAGAGAGATTTTATAATTGAAATTTGTGTCATTAAATTTTTTTAAAACAATATAAATGAATAGATTTGTACCTCAAAATTCTAATTTCCTCTCTGAGCTACAAAAATTTAAGCTTTAAAGTCAAATATATTTCTTACGTCAATATTTAACTCAATTTTTCATCCCTTCGTGGATATTTATTTATAGAAAGTATTTATAATATTTCGTACTACATTCAATTTTAATATTTCTTGTAATAAATTATTTCAGTAAAATATCGAATAATATTTCTTGATGCAATGTATTCTTACTTCAAAAGCAAGGTGTTAACAGAATCGTTGTCACTCGAATATAATCCTTTGTTTTAATCTTCACAATGAGGGCGTTACGTAAATCAGGAAAATCCAATAAAACGAATTCCAATTTGCGGCCTAAAGTGCACGGAAGCGTCGAGTGTAGTTAAAGTTCCGTTTGCAAATGGTTGGAGGAGGAAAGGGCTGAACGAATGACGGTGTTCCTCCAGCTTTCTCGTCGAACGTATTAAAAGGAGGGGCGCGTTATTGAAAGCTTTAAGGGCGGACCGTGCCCGCGGGAGGGTAGGTGATACGCGACTCCCTTGGAATCCAATAAAGCGACCCAGTATTTCGTGATTTTGGCTGTATATGTACTATGCCTCAAATTTAAGACAAATTTGTTTTCGTGAAATATGCAGAATGTCTAGAGCAAGAAGGGTTCTTAGATGATGACTAGAGAAACTCCTGAAAAGATGAAATGTACGACGCATTGACGTTCAAAAGACTAGTTTCTGTCAACAATGTAGAAAAACCAATTATTTTTAATGATACTTTTTATTCATTTTATCTTTCAAGTAGAATTTTCATATTTTCCAATATTAAATACTCGTACAATTAAGTAATAATTAAAGTTTAGAGTAAATTACCAAATTGGTCTTAAATTACAAATTTAGCGAACACTATATCAATATTTTGGAATTGATATTACTTTTTACAATCGTCAAGAGAAGTTAATGAATGAAAATCAATAATTCTTATATGCATTTCTATTATCTAAAAGAAATTAAGTTTCCTATTTGAATCGATGCATTTTCTATCAGTCTTGCCTCTATCTTAGTTTACTGCGCCTTTAAGTGGACCAGTATCTTGTTCTTGATTGTCTTGTAAATAAGGCAAACCTATTTGGACTCCGGATTACGGTTTATGGAACTTCTCCTTCCATTCATTCGACCAGCACGTACCAATTTCCTAGTATTTAGGCGTATGAAATTACCATGACAATGAATCAACTGCACGATACGCGAGCTACTTCTCCTTCAAGTCTTCCCGTAATACCACCGGCAAATAATTCTATTCGGATGCCACTGCGGCCGGAACTTTTACGATTACCTAACTACGAGGGGTTGCTTCGCTATTTTGACAAAGTTCGATTCACACCGTGAGAGTTTCGCCCAGATCGAGAGCTGTTTTATTCTACGTGCTTTTACTTGACTTCTTCATCGCGAGGAAAATGTTATTCGGAGTGCAAGAAATACGCTGCGCACTACGAATACATTTCAGCACCTCCCTGATGCAGAAGATTCAAGTTTCTAATTGAACTCCGACTTTTCTTTTGATACGGGAATTTCGTCTGATTAGGTCATGAAGATAGGAATTTCTAATTTAATCATTCTTACTTAATTTATTTTTACTAATTTAAAAAGGATCTACGTCGATGTTTAGCTATCGAAGATTTTCTTCGAAAAACCAGAAATCACATAACTATCTACATTATAATTACTACGATACACTCTTTAAAAATTCATTCAAATGTTTATATTTCGAAAGTTGAAAAATTAGCCACTTAATTTTAATAAAACAAGTATACCTCCAATAATTCTACAATGTCAATATGTCTACCAAGAAATCGTTGGCAAGAAATACAAGGTACCAATTACGAAGTACGACATAAAATTCCGAAGGGGCGTACACGACGGGAAGCTCGATACCCGAAAACGCGATAAAGGTGAAAATGTACGGTGAGAGATAGAAAATAAACCATCTTTAGATCGTTTCGCTTCATCGACGTCCATCTTGACGACGGGCAGAGAGCACGCCGAGGACGCCGACGACGACGACGACGACGCCCACGAAGACGACGACGTCAGCCAGGTGCACCATTGAAACGAGCACTGCCGTTTGTTCTCCAAGATGGCGGACGTAAAAGAGGAGAAGCAGACGTTTCTGCAGAAGCTGCTGTTCTACACGACCGCGTTCTTCATCCTCCTCAGCACCTTCAGCCTCTTTGCCTTCCTCTTCTTGGTCCCCTTCGTCATCGACCCCGCCTTCACCACCATCTTCATGCAGTTCGATACTCGGCCAGCCGAGTGTGTCACCATCGACGTTGAGTCCAGGAGAGGTGAACAATCGGTCCCTTCTTCTTCTTCCTCAATCGTGTTTTTTAATCGTCTGTTCGGTGTCGCTTTCGTTGTGTCGTTGCATGCGACCCTCACCCAACCTTTAACGGATCCTCGTCCAGAGGATCGCCACTTTTTCTCTGGTTCCGACGGGTGATTAGATAACTCCGGATCGACCTGTTAGTTTAGATACGTCTGTTGATAGGTTGTGCATTGAGAGTTCCCCAGTGTCGTGATGTACGTTCGATGGGTGTTCATTGCGTTTAAGAGATTTCATTTTGGATATTTACCAGTTCCTTTTTATTTCAACGGTAGAATATATTGATAAAGAGTCTTAGTTGCGTCTTCTTGTTGTAGTCGAAATTATATGCATTCAGTAGGTTTTGGAAATAGTTTTCGTGGAAATGGAATAAATATTTATAATTTCAGTTTACGTTTTTCATATTATTTTAGAAAGAATATATTGCATTTAATATCAGTTTAAAATAATGAAATTAATCAATTTGAAAATTGAAATGAACAGTTTAATTTCGAGACTTGAGAAGCTTGAACATTTTATAATATGCTCGTCGATTTGCTAATGAAACGTGATTAAATTAAGTTTTAAATTTGTTTATGTTCTAGGTTATTTTTTATTAAGATGGTTCGATAGTTTTCGCACGAATTTTCTTTAAAAAATTTCATGATATTCCGTTAACGTAATTAAACATCCATCGAACCTTCCACGGCGGTCGTACTTGATTCACTAGTAAATAATTTCGATTCCGCCTAGTTGATGCATTTCTTTCCCTCAACTCTTTGATCTTTAGAAAGCACCATCTTCGATGGTATGAATCTTGTCTTCTGTATATTCGTTACTTTACTGTCTTTCTGCATTCCCTTGGAAATCCTCGTGTGCTCGACCATGTGATTCTCTCGTGTGATCGTGTGTGCGTTCGATGTGAATCCAATATTCAAATAACCAAGGCACACATCCAGAACTAAGAAACTGATCTCTTACATCGAAAAGATTTCATTTCACATTTCGCTCAAACATAATTTTAAATTATGTTTTGTACAACTTCGAAAATAACTTCTTGACAGTTCTTGATGAAAAAATATTTCAAGTGGTTAGAAGAAAATTTGTCAGATAAATATTCTCTATAAATGGCAAATAGACTTAAATAATTTCATTAAACGGTAATTAAATCATACAATAAACAAAACAGAAATTAGGAAATACAAGTTTCATATAACCTTTATTTTATAGAATCTAATTAATCTCACAAAACATGTTTATACAATAAGATATTTGAAACTTAAACAGTATATATCTACAGAATTAACACTTTCCATTTTTTAATGCCTACCTTCATTATTTTTATATTCTTCTACTTCTATCATTTCTCTCTTACTCTTAAGAAACAATCTCGGAAAACCTCTGAACACTAAGAAAATCCGAATTCGTTATAACTGCACAGGAGTCCAGATGCATGTAGAAGTAACTGCGGAATAAATAAATCGATTCGTTCCAATTTACGAAATAGGGTCACCGCCAGAATATACGATTTGCATGAATGATTGAGAAAACTATTTCCAGATATCGAGTGGATGTAGCGAAGGTTGTTTCGATAGACAGCCGATTCGCCGATTCGCAACAACGGATTCAGGATTCCGGTATCTGGCCACGGACACGAAGGCAATGACATTTAATTCAATATTTAATGAACGATATCTTGGACCCGCGGTCGGGATACGCTTGCTCTCCCTTAATTATTTAAAAAGAGCGCGCGCACATATCAGCTTGACATTTTGCCGAAACGTCACTGTGACGTACGAATTAAATATATTTCACTTCACTTCTGTTCTGTATCATTGGAACTTTGAAATCTAATGAACACGTCCATCAGAAAATGTCTTATCTTAATGAAACATTTGCAGCGTGTATGTTTCAATCATTTAAATTAAACACGAAGGAATTGTAAGAAATGTACGTTAAGTTTGGAGAATTGTATATACATATTGCACAAACATTCCATTGTATTATAAAATATATTACGTCCTTTTTTGAAGCAGCTTTTGCAAAATGTTAAACTATTAACAACTGAGAAATATTTCTAAAGTTTGGAACGTTACTTTTATCAACTGAAAATACTGAGAAATATTTATTGAGTATAAAGAATTATTCATATCACTTAATTGTTTACTTTCTTATCATCCTATCGTACGTTTCGTTGGACACTACAAGCAAAAACTTAATAAATTATTCAATTTTTCATTATTCTTTTCATTATTCGTCGATTATCACTTTGGAAATAGAAAAATCATTTTACAGAAAGTTGAAATTTAGATTGTATAAATCACTTATCCATATAGTTGTTTCTATGAATTTTCATATGAATTTCTTTTTTAATTCCTGTTTGTTAAAATACTATTTGCAATCCGATAATTGCACACGGATCCATTATATTTCTACTGACAAAATCTAAACTCGCTGGTAGAACGCCAAGTAAAAGGTACACAAGTTTCTCGTGACTTAATGCACGAACAACACGCGATCAGTTTCAGAAAAAAATCGATTCGTGTATTCCCCTCCGAACATGAAAACGCGGGGCCATTTGGAAATAATATCGTAATCTTCGCGTCGGCTCGGTGCCAACGTTCATATGGAAATCTATAAATTCCATCGTAAGGTAAAATTTATAATTTGGATATGAGAACAACGATAAAAATGCGGACTCGCGTGAGTATGGAACGTCATATTTTCTCAATGGCTTTGATAAACGGTTATTGGGGCGCTATTTACATGGGAACTTCTACATTTCCATCGCGATCGTGTTGATTCTGGTCAATCACGTTTGATATTTCGATTTACGCAATTCGATACTATTCTTCGGAACATCCGCGTGCGATAAAGCACCAGTCGTATTTATTTATGTAGTCACGAACTAGTCAAAACAAGGCGCAATTTATGGTACATTAAAAGAGGAAGATCTTTTACTTGTAAAAAGGTATAAAATTCAATTTCCAAATGATCTACAGCTTTAATGTCCATCTGTTTCATATATTGATCATTTAATATATTTCATATATTAAAAATTAATTTTCTAATAAATATTGCACTTGATTTTGCTGGATGTAACTAAACTCGAAATTAAACTAAACATGAAATAATTTTACACAAAATAGTAAGACAAAAATATTTGACAATACTTTTCCTATGATATTTCTTTCCCATAATTGCGTTTGAAAACATATTGGATACACGTGCAATCGAAAAAAAGTGTCTGTTCATAATTTGCTGATCCCATTTCTTATAAATACTGATGTTTGCGTGTCGGACTAACCATCAAAATCAATAATCTCAGAACGAAGTCTCATAGAAGAAAATTTGATTGTATGTTTCCGACTTAGCTTTTCTTGTAAATTTATTTCCTTCCCTTTTGTCATGATTTCGGAGGCACCATTAATTATACTTTGACAAACAGGTATTTCACTTTAAATGAAATAATCTAAAGGGATCCAGAAATGTAGAAAAAAGTTTAAAGAAATTCACGATTTCGTTACGGTGATGAGATACGTGTGAGATAGAAAACTAGATTATACAGCACAGTTATTACAGTTTATTGCCAGTAGAAATGGTCTGTAATTGTCGGACGCATTCAGAAGCATTTTGTGTCTAGTCAATTTAAAAAATTGATTCTGTCTAGTGATCAGATACGAACAAACAGTTTTCTTCCACTCATCTTATTTTCGCAAATATAATCTAGACTGTAAATTAAATTATGAAATTAAATAAATTATACAAATTTATCTTTTTATTTCTTTTACTAATCTAAGATCTATTTTATTCGTTTAATGTAAAGTATAAGCAAATACCAATTAGTACAATCAATTAATTCCAGACATTAAAAAAGTCAAAATACAGAAATATACTAAAAATTATACTCATCAAACATTATTTTAATTATTTTCTTTCGCACAGAAAAAAACACTCTAGCACACACATCCATTACATTCTATTAATCTGGTTGACGCGCGCTTCCTTGATTTTTTCCAACAAAGGAAAACAACGAGGAGGGCGAGAGGGATGGGGATACACAAAGTCGTCGTAACATGTGCGCGTATCATCGATTTTATGCAAATAAAATGCTAAACGGTGAACGGAAAGCGTTCCATCGCGTAAATTACGAGTGCACAGTCTGTGCGCCGGGAAAAATGTCGTTCATTAATATTGTTTCAACCGAAAAAGTATCAATTTCGCGTCTCCCGATTTGCATTCGGCCGACTGGCCAACCGATTGCCGTGGATGTTTTCATCGGCGTAGCACAGTGTTCGCTTTAATTGAAATAGGATTTAAACAACAGCTGTGGAACGCTGATGCAATAGGGACCGACAGAGAGTAGCTGGCAGTGGGAAAGATTTAAACTGCTTGCGATGAAGGCCAGTCGCGCGTCTAGAACGTCAATCAATTTTTCGGACGCTGGGGAAAACCGACTGCCAGTGATAATATTTGCCAGCGAATGTCTCCGCCTTCGTGGATCGTCAAACCGAGTTTACCGGAAAATTGCGTTTCCGCCTTGTCACTCGACGCGGGGCGCGCACCACTCGGAACGGGGCTTGTCAAAATTGCAAGAGAGCATAAGCAAGAGCTTCGCTTGTAAAATCCTACATTTTCGAGTCTCGGAGACGGGCTATTCAAAGATGAAACGTGCTGAAGTATGGTTATGTGACATGCTTGTTGACGGCAATGAATTCAGTTTTGCCATTGTTTCAATGATGTTCTGTTTTATTTTTCTTGGAAGTGAACTGGAAATTTGGATTCGTTTTGATGGGGTTGTTTATCACTAAAACTGTCGAGCAGTTACATTCATTTTTTGAAATTTTTCTACAGAAATTCTAAGAATACATCTATAGAGACACATTGCTACATCAATTTCTTTAATAATTTCTCAGAGAAACATCTGTTATCTTTTCAATAATTCCGAAAAGAAGAAATCCGGAATGGGTCATTTTGACCCGT